TAACATTGTCAAACTGTGTTTTTTCTTTTATTTATCTTTTCTTAAATCACGCTCTTCTCTTAACTGTTGAAAAATATTGGAAGAATTACGTCAATTATTTTGGTGGTGGTGGTGGTGGTGGTGGTTGTTTTTTAGCAGTAAAATTTTGCTTGGCACAGCATGAACAATCAGAAAAGTAATTGATGCCCAAGGCTACAGGATGTATCTTAGCTTGATATCCAATAAGTACGCTACCAGCTAATAACATCCAATAATCTTCGCAAAGAGACAATAATAATAATTATAATAATACCAAAGAAGAACTGTGAAAATCCTACCCAGCCAATGACTGTTTACATTTAGTATGACATAGTCATTGATTCTGTAAGCACCAATTGGTAATGGAACCTATTTTGGTCCTCCATTAGTCTATTGGTTCTTTCCTCAGTTCATAGTCTTCATAAGAAGGTATCTTGAGAACAAAGGCTAAAGATAATAACTATTATCTCTTGCCCCTCATTAGACACCAACAAGGGGATGTTAAACATTTCAAAAGACTTTGCTTTTTTTTTTCTCCATTTGCCTAATTAGCTGTTGTAATGGAGAATCGTTAGCAACTCAGATTGAGGAATTGAAGAGCCAAATTTGAATTCCAGTCATGTTCATTATATTCACTTATGTGCTAATACGCTTGGGAAAGGTATAAATCCAACTCTTCTCTCCCAGCTATAGGTTAAATAGCAGGACAGATTGGGTCTTATAGCTTTGATTGACAGCCAGTCTAGGAGGAAAACAGAATTCAAACCAGCCTGGAGAGGGTTTTGTTCTGTCAGTTACACCGTTTCTACTGCGGCTGCAGTACATGTAGCAACCCTATGACACTTGCGATACGGGACTCGTGATTGCGATTGTGAATGAAGCATTGTCTGTGGCCATTATCGGATCTTAATCTACAACTGTTTGTTAAGTGTTAGATGTCAATTAGATGCCTGAAAAATTGATTATACCAAAAGATTGACATTGTTAACTTTTTCTTTAGAAGCATTCATCAACACTGCTGGTTCCAATCCCAATGTGGATTGACTGCAAAACATTTTCCCCTGCCCAGTTTATAAGCAGAAGCACACAGATACATGCTGGGATTTCTTCCTAGCCAATAAAATAGTCCAGTACTCATTTTCCCCTAACTTAGTCCCGGTCGGTCTTGTCTTGAAGTCAGAATGCTATGTTCACTTATCCGAATTTGCTCTTGTGTATCAACCTCAATTTTTAGTTTATGAACTTTTTGCCATATTACTTTTGCTTTGCCTTATTAGTGTTAATTTGCCTTGCATATAGTGTTTGCTTGTTTTATATTATTTTTGTCCTATTGTTTTCTTTTCTTGTTATTGCAAACTTTGACAATTCTGTTTATTGGGCCGTTCTGCCATTTGTATACATTTAACCATAGACACTCACTCTACAAGCACTAAGTCTGAAGGTATTTTTAAATTTAAGCAAATATTTAAAAAACTGCAAAAATCACACACAGTTTTGCTTTTTTGTTTTATTAACTTTTAACACATTCTTTTTTTTTTTGACTTCTTATTGTGGCACAATGGGACACTGGTCAAGATTAAAACACACAAAGTGGGCCTTAAATGATCTTATCTGAGCCAGTTTTTTTTAACTGTGCAGACAGTAAACTGCTGGCCAAAGGGAAGATCTGATCTATTAAAATATGACAGTAAACTTGTTCAAAGTGTTACTTCTTCACCCTGAATATGTTGAGTAAATCCATGAATAAATAGTATAAAAGAAATAGGATATGCATTTTCATTTTTTGCTGTAACAATATTTTCAAAGTTTAACAAAATTTTCTTGTCATTTAATATGTGACTTAGCTTTTGGAAGGCATCTTTCACTATTCCAATGTACTACCTTAAATATAAAGTTGGTTGTCCATGTTTGTATGTATGCTAATATTATGTAAAATGTATCATCAAATAAATGCAGCTTTATTATGGTTTTAAAATGATGTAGGTATCTCCATTTGTAGATACTTCCACAGATTTGTGAAACCTCAGGTTTAAAACAAATTTTTAAAAATGAAAAATCTATCTTGAAGCTTATATTTTAGTTTTAATTTCAAGCTACAAGATTAAATTTAATATTTACAATAAGCAAAGTACTTTGCTGTATTTCACAACTAATTTCAATTGACTGGAAGGAGTTTTTTTTATTTGGTAAAATAACTGATTTTAGCACCATTTTTAGTCATCTTTCATTGCAATGTAATTCTCTTTATAAAAAAATCTCCTAAAAATGAAATATGCTTTTCTGAAACTTTATTTGAGGAATATTAACTGATTTAAACTGTAATTAAACTCATTTGAAACAAATGTTACTTACTTTAATTTTAAAATATGACAGAAATGTATTTTTTAACATGACGGTAGCTGTTTATTTAAGGTGTTGACATATTGACAGATGGAAGTTTATCTAATGTTTTTCTATGTTTTTAAACTTTATGAATTATTCTAATTACATTTTTAAAAAAATGAAAACAATTCCAGTAAAAATTCATTATTCCTTGAAAATTTATATATATATATATATATATATATATATATATATATATATATATAAATACCAAAATTTTCTTTCAAATAGTTTCGTAACCTCCTGAAGATGGTCTCAAGTGAGATTGAAAGTACTTGGGAAAATAAAAACTATTTGAAAGAAAATTTTGGTATATTTCTTAATCAATTTTCTAAGGCCAGCAAGAAATTAATCCCCAAACTTGAAAGGATCACAATGAAAACTAATCAACATGATATGTCTAAATTATTTAACCAAACCTGTTTGAATGAAAATATACTGCCTAAGTATACATTTTATATATATATATATATATATATATATATATATATATATATATATATATATATATATTTGTGATTTCAATGAACACTCGTTTCCACTTTTGTAATGTAAACGAATATTCGTTGTCACTTTTGTGATGCTCATTGTAGTAGAGACTTTGTAACTGCAGATACAACTATAATAACACCGTTGAACAATACCAGTGTCAGACATCTTTGAATAACACTCAAACTAATAGTACTTGCTCGATGATACTCACTCAAATAGTAACCACCGAATAATGATCCAAATAGTAATCCATATAGTGATAAATTAGACACCACACTTATTCCTATATATACATTTCCTTTATCATCATGTGATCTACTTATTCGAAATGAGATCACCTGTGTTTGCTCTCTTCTGATCTGTGTTCAAACTCCAGTGTCAGCAGTGACACTTTATTCCTATGTGTATATATATAGTTGTATGTGTATATAAGGGTGTGTATATGTATATGAGTATACCTATATGTATATATAGATGGATTGATAGTTAGATAGATAGATAGATTGATAAATATATATATATATATATATATATATATATATATATATATATATATATATGTATGTATGTGTGTATACGTGTATGGAATATTTTTTAAATGGAAGTCTTTGGGTCATTCTAATGGTATTTTTAAAATTACTCCTTTTAATATTTAATATCACTTTCTCTTTTAATGTTCTATAATTAGAATTTTGAGAGTGTATTTTATCTTCTGAAAGGAGTTTCATTTTTAAAATTGATAATTTAAATTTAAATATACCACTCTTTAACTATTAATAGTAATAATAATATTAACAAAATTCCTTTAATAATGAGGCACTTCAGAAGTCACCTAAAGTTAAACTTTAACTATAAAATCAAACTAAAATCTAAATAAATTTCAAATATTAAAATATAGGTAATGATTGAGAAATGTATGTATATATAATTTATGTATGAAGATAGATGAACATTTGTGTATATTGTTACACGTGTGTCGATGTGTGTATTTGCACATGTAAATAAACGTATGTTTGTGAGATACATATAAGAAGAAAACAAAATCTTTAATATTGCCCTCAAATATTATTAAATAATGAAACCTAAACCTTAATTAAGTTTACCCATATAATAATAAAGAAAAATTGCATTCATAAATTAGATTAAAAGTAAAACTAATATAGATGTTATTGTTACCAAAATTTTTTTACAATATTATGGAAGTACAATTGATCGGGTAAATAAACTATTATAATTTTAAATATTTCTTTAATATGTTCTCAATAAATGTGCTAATAAAAATAGTAGTTAACTTATATTAAGTCCCTAAACTATTTGCTTGTAAAATTAAATGTTTAAATTGATAACATTCATCATTTTTTAGACATCTAAATTTCTATCAAGCATTGAAATCTATCTTTTACATAATTTTGTTAAAACAAAATTACAGCCTCTTTCGATTCACTTCCCTCTCCCCCTCTCTCTTTGCCGTAACACTCATTTAGATATATCTGTATTACTGTCGTCTGTCTCCTCTCTCTTTTCCATCTTTCCTTTTCTTCTCACCCCACTCCCCTCCATTTCCTATATATCATTTCCGTTAAGTTAACCATCTAAATAGGTCAAGGTTCGGTCACTCCTCCTACCCCAATATAAAGCATGCTTAAGGGAGATATGAAATTAACCCCTCCCTATACTCTACCCTGTCTCTTTAACTACAACTCTCACCCCCACTGTTAAATTACAAAAATTACACTACCCATCAATTTCTAATCCCATTTTTCCTTTCATTTCGTTGTTGGAATTGTTACCTGATGATCTGGAGTCCTTTAAAAAGGATTTTGGTGAAATAAATTATTGTAATGGTACCTTAAAGTGGTCTGTTTTTCATTAAATATTAGCTCTGTATTCACATTGAGCTCTCAGGATTTCATCCTTCTTGGAATTACCCATTAGGTTTACCAAGTTCTTTGTAACTTATATATATATATATATATAATCATAATATATATATATATATATATAATCATAATAGTAAACATCAGAACAGTAAACACTTTGTTTTTCAGTTAACACAGTTGTCAGATGCTTTTCTATATCGGCCTTCTTTGACTGTTTTTTATTTACAGAAACATGGATGATACCACAAAGCTGGTGTACAAAGAGAATATCCGCCTGACAGAGGCTCTCAAATATCACATGGAAGAGACAGAATACCTGAAAAAATCCAATGAGGGTTTCATAAAAGACAAGGAAAATATGACGGGCATGTTAAAAGATCAAAAATTGTTGCTTCACAAAAAAGTTGTTGAAAACAAAAAAGTCAAATCACTAAATTCCAAGGTAAGCAAAGAAGTTTCTTTTTTTTTTTAATCATCTTAAATCAAATCTTAAATTTCAGAATTATCTATATATCAATTATTAGTTGTCCTTAATGAATTCTCAAACTTGATCTGGGGGCTCTTGTTGGAATTAGTTTCAAAAAGTACCACAAATTTATTCAGCAGCATGCACAGGTTTACATAATGCTCTTTGATTGTCTCATTAGGACAGGTCAATTTTGAAACTGCGGTCTTGCACTCAGTTTGAAAGTTTGGGTTTGATATGATAAATAAAATATATTTTTCCAAATTATTACCTTTTTTTTGAGGAAATGATTTTGAAGAATAAGTTTAGGATCAAAATTGGAATTTCATTCTGGTGATCAGTAAAATTTTTATAGCACGTCCATATAATATTTATAATTGAAATAAATGCAGTTCCTTCGTTTGAAATTAAAAAGGGTTAATACATTCCATAACCAACAACTGTAAATCTTCAACATGATCCAGTGAATAAAGCAACTGTCGACTGAAATACAAAATATTGCATTAGAAAATTTACAGCACAATGCTTTCATCTTGTCAGATGAATTTCAGATGAGGGAAGAGGCTATAAAAAATTTGTCTATTAGATAAATAAACACTTATTCATACTTAATTATGTCAATTTACAAAACTAATTTCAGTGATTAGCCTTTTTTGTAATTTTTAACAATTTTTACACAATTTTCACTAATTGAATACAGTAAAAAATTGCATATTTTGCTTGTGGTAATTCATAATCAGAATTCTGGTATGAATATATTTTCCATTCAGTGCATCTCATACAAAAGGTATGAACCTTATTTGGATTTTTTCTTGAAATAGTGAAATTTTGAAGTTAGTCCACTCTGTACGACTAATTTAACATTGATTCTTTGTCTAATCATTCTAACCTAACTTATAACACTATATGTTTGTGTAGTTGGAAATTCCCCCCCCCTTCGAAAGAAGGGAAAAAATGTCTCTTCACCAGGCGTTAGTATGTCTTCAGTATTCTTATGTAACTCATAGCTTGGGATGTCCCTTTTGCTCACTGCCATTCTTGCTGTCTTTTATACATTTAATGGTCAGTCCTTTCTCCTTGTTTCCTCAGCAGTTCTTCTTTATGTGCTGTGTCTCCTCAAGATGTAGTCGATTATGGCTCTCCACAACTTCCTGTCCCTTGTAGCACTTAATAAACTTTGTCTTTCTATTATTTCTCCCTCTTCTGACATCTATTTACTCAGGCTCATTAAGTATATAATGTGTTGTTTTTCCTTGTCCCTCTTGCTCTCTGTCTGTCTCATGGGTATCAGATTCTCCAAGCCCTCCTTCCTCATTATATGTCCCAGTAACCTCAACTGTCTCTTGCTGATGTTAAGTGTAAGTTTCCAATTTTCTCCAAAACTTTGTTTTTACTCACATATTCAGTCCATCCTCAGCATCCTTTTGTAGAACCACATTTCTGTCATTTCAGGTCTCCTCTTCATCTTTGAGGAGATCGTTTCAACGCTCACTGCCATACATGAAGACAGATTATTTACATTATTTGGAGTATTGTCCTCATCTTTGTCGCCATATTTATTACAACGTTTTGGCCATTGTACGCTCTGGCCTTCTTCAGGTGGTTGGCTGCTAGGCCACAAAAATCTCCTGAGCCAACCAAGCATAGAAATGAATACAATATGGGAACCAGTAATACGGAGTGCCAGAGAAAAGTGATGATAACAGCAAAAATTGCAATATGAGCACTGGTAAAAATGGTCACTGAAGACATTAGGTTTATAATACCCAGAAATTAATACATGTCCTCAAGGACACATGGCACAGTGGATGGTATTTACTTGATTCCCACTAAATCAAGATATGACACAAGGTCGATTAACGTGGGAGACCCGAGTGTTTCCACTCATAGGCCACTGGTCAAAATATTGGTCAGAGCTTGTCCAAGCTGGTCAGAGCCTAGTCAAAGCTGGTCATAACTTGTCCTAACAGGTCCAGGCCGAAGCCAGTCCAAGCTAGTCAAAGCTTGATCGAATCTCAGTCCACCACCAAGAAACGATCCATTAATTGTCAAAACCCCCAGCCAAAAGGCCGGGCAGAATGGCACAGTGGATAAAGGCGTGTGAGTTCAATACCCAGTTAAGGCAGTGGAGAACTTGGAGAGGGGCATTAACAAGAGATAACTGATAACTGACATCCATTAAACATGGCACGTGGAACTAGAACAGTCCACCCCAGTGAGCAAAATAAAGGGTTCAGTTCGACATTTGAACCACCTGAAGAAAGCCGGAGCGTACAACAGCTGAAATGTTGTAATAAATATGGCGACAAAGATGAGGACAATAGTCCAAATAATGTACATAATACCTCATCTCAGAAATATAGACAGATACTGAAAGGCAGAAGCGCTGTAATAAATATGGCAACAAAGATGAGGACAATAGTCAGAATAATGTAAATAATGTACATAATACCTCATCTCAGAAATATAGACAGATACTGAAAGGCCAAAACGTAATAAATATGGCAACAAAGATGAGGACAACAGTCCGAATAATGTAAATAGTGTACATAATACCTCATCTCAGAAATATATACAGATACTGAAAGGCCGAAACGTTGTAATAAATATGGCGACAAAGATGAGGACAATAGTCCGAATAATGTAAATAGTGTACATAATACCTCATCTCAGACATATAGACAGATAAGGAAGACAGATATCACATAGTAGTTTTGTACTCTTTTCTTTGTTTCTAGCAAAGTTTTTATATTCTTTAGTACTCTGCTTAGCTTTTGGAATGTTTTGTTGGTGATCCCATTACACGTTTGGATCTCAATGTCGTTCTTTCTCTTCTCAGTTAAAACACTTCCCCCTTTGTTAGAGAACAAAATTTTTCTTACCACAGAATAAATCAAACTGAATACACACATTTTATAACCCTGAACATTGTTGTTTTTTAATTATATTTTATATAAGTGAGTTTTTTCAAATAACTCTGATTTGTGTTTATTTTAAATTCAAATATTTCTTTTTTCTCTTCATAAAATCTGAAATCTAAATTCTTTGATCAATTGATCCATCTAAGTTGGTTATGAAGATTGATATTCTGGAGAAGTCTCTGCATCATATGATGAAGGAATTTGAGAACCAGAAAGAAGTTTGCACAAAGGAATCTAATCAGGAGATCGAAGTATGTAAATCAGAGATTGAACGCCTAAAGCAAATTTTGGAATTAAAGGCAAAAGAAATGAACAAAGTGAAGAGATTGGCTCGCAGCATTCTTGAACAGAGGACAGAATTGGAAACATTCTTCATTGAAGCTATAAATTATGTAAAACATGAAATTGGAAAGAATCGGTAAGTACCTTTCAAGTTTCTATTTTGTCAACTGTTATTATGCTGATAAGGGTAAATGGCTGTCATATTCGATGAATCTGAGATAGTTTTTTACTACTTCCACCCCTATTTCAAACTAGGCTAGAATGTCAGTCAGAAATATATAGATCGAACATAGCATGATTAAAAATGTCTTGTAGGCTGATAATTGACTCCCCAAACAACTGAATTAATTTTCAAAAATTTTTATCTTAACTAGGAAGCCAGTGTGTCTATGCCCAATTTCTCAGAGATATATGCCATTTTTTGTTCTTGTTTGAATTTTTAAAGGATATCTTGATATCTTTTTTTTTTATCCCATGATATGTAGGGTTGTAAGGCCACAGTATATTGCAGCCACAGTGGAAATGGTGTTTCAAGATAGCCAGACAGAGCCCAACCCTCTCCACGCCAGTTTTGAATTCAGAGTTTTTCACTCTCCTTAGAAGTCAATGTAATGGATCCGACTGGAAATTGAACTCAGCTCTCTGATTTCTCAATCCGAGCTGCTATCCATTACTCCACCATGCCTTCCTTATACTAAGTTAAAACTTAGTAACATTTTTTTTTTCTAAGAGAAGCAGATACAACTTCCTATCACCTGGTAAATACTCCTCCCACTTCCCATGAACAGGAGTAGAGGTTCATCTCTTGTTTCCTGTTTAGGGAGGGGTTCCTGGTTTCTTTCTTCTTCTGAGGTCTTAATAGTATTGCTGTCATGAATTTTTGGTCATATATATGGATGGTAGCAACGTCTCTTCATACTGAGGGTACCAGGTTGGCACTTTTCTGGTTGCTGCTTTTCAGTTGCGCAGACTCTTGCATAGCATCTAACAGAGGCTGCTCTGATCAACAGTTGCATAATATCAGGGTCCTTGCAGTACCATGTAATGCATGAAAGGATGTTCCTGCAAGCACCTCCATTGTACAAGGCTGCATTATGCTGCAGTCTGTGACAATTTCCAGCCTGCACATGTCGCCTCAAATGATCAACAACTACTACTATTCTCAGCCTTTCCCTAACATTTTCCCTCTGTCTTTTAATATCTCTGAGATGAGGTATTATGATTACTTGCATCATTTACATTATTTGAACTGTTATCGTCATCTTCATTGCCATATCCACAACGTTTCGGCCATTGTAAGCCTCTGGCCTTTATGTCTATGTTTCTCTATATATCTGTCTATATCTCTGAGATGAGGTATTATGATTACTTGCATTATTTACATTATTTGGACTGTTATTGTCATCTTCATTGCCATTTTCACAATGTTTCAGCCGTTGTACACTCTAGCCTTTATGTCTATGTCTCTCTATATCACTGTCTATATCTTTGAGATGAGGTATTATGATTGCTTGCATTATTTACATTATTCGGACTGTTACTGTTATTTATTCTCTGTCTCTTATATTGAGCAATTATACCCATAAATATAACTTAAAACTATATATATAGTACATTTAAGTAACAATCCTTTTGTATATGTGGGATATATATATATATTTATTTATTTATTTAAGTAACAATCCTTTTATATATATGGGATATATATATATATATATATATATATATATATATATATATATATATATATATATATATTGAACTCACTTACAGCTTTTCGCTCTCCAGTCAAATTTGATCTTTAAAAAATTAGATTCAATGTCAATCATCATCTTTTGTCTCCTTAATTCATGTTCTTTTATTGTCCTCTTTTGTTAATAATGTTTTTTTCACAGATACTTTCACACTCACTAGCCATTTCTATCTTTGTGGTTTTATTGCCTTGCTTGGGGTGAAATGATTAAAAAGAAGTATGATCAAACATATATATGTATGTATGTATGTATATATATATATATATAGCCAGTATTCATCCAAAGAAGTTTGATTAAAAAAGAACTGACATGGTCTGTTTAATTGCTTTTTACAATTTTTCAGATAAGGTGTTGAATATTGTGGTAAAAATTGTAGATATACTGTCCAAAGTTCATATTGTGTTATTGTTTCATTCAAAGTGAGACTGAGGCTCTGTGGGAAAATGAATGAAGGCATATGAATGGAGCCATCACTAGCGATTCACTCCAAATGCCTTTGTAATTACTAATAGACTCATCCAACTCTTTCCAAATCCTCAGCACTGTCCTCAGAATTCACGTCCAAACATTTTGAAATGTTCGTATTGGAGCTTCCGGCATGAATACCAAGCAGTATAACATACCATTTCCAAATTTCTGTCACAGTGAATTGCATCATAGTCTTTTTCTCCCAGACGTTGCCCAACTGACCTTACTATACTGTGCAGTTGACAAAATCAAAAACAAACAATGCACATGTGGGAAGTAAAAATATAATATGTACACTATCCAATATATACAAAAACATTACTACTCAACTATATATATATATATATATATATATATATATATATATATATATATGATAAAAATATACTTTTATGGTATGCAATATTCATGGGTAAAAGTGCTCAAGAATATGTAAATATAAAAGTAGACACTGAGGTTAACACCCAGTGGTGACAATCTTTTTCATACTTAAACACTATCTTCAGCATAAAACAAACTGTTGTTACTCAGTGTTAACCTCAATGTCCACTTTTATATATATATATATATATATATATATATATATATATAAATAAAAAGAAAGAACAGTAAGATATATAATCCGGTGTTCTTATAGATATTTTCATTTTTACAAAATAGTGCCCAATGTAAATTTACAGAGCATTAATATTATAAATTAATTGATTTAAAATGTTTTTTTCACCATATTTTAAATCAATTAATTTATAATATATATATATATATATATATATATATATATATATATTGTATATTTGGGCAGTAATTGAATGTGTAAAACAAGGAAAATATTATCAGCTTTTTATTTAAGATTCTGAGTTGTTATAAACTGTCCACAGTGATTATCGTCTGAAGTGCTTTGATCTTATTCATTAGCCATTTTCAATGTGATCGTTGTTTGTCTATTTTTATGTTTGTATTCTAAGCTGTCTTGTGTAGAAGTAGTTGTAATTCGATGTTAGCTTTCTTCAAAAAACTTACATAAATCATTCCAGAGGTTAAGAATTTGCACAGGTCCATATTTAAAACACAAATGTCTTAATAGAAATAAATCACTCCAGACAATTGTAGACAATTGTGAATTTAGTATTAAAATTTTTAATCTAATAACAAAAAAGTGAAACTGTTTTCCCATTAGACATTAGCCACTATGTTATATGATTTAAGTAAAACTGAACAAATTGAAAATTTTTTATCATTTTTATTACTAATTATTATTTTTATTAATTATATATACATTTATATTATTTAATATATTTTCTGTTTATACCTTATTTTATAAGATGCTATTTATTTAAGTAGATGTTCTGTTTTTTTAAATAAACCGTATTAATTACATTTACAGGCCTGAATTTAAAATAAAAAAAATAGAGCATTTACTTAAATAAATTGTATCAATTAAAATAATGTATAAACAGAAAATATATTAAATAGTTGTCGGACTGAATCCATTTCATAATATGTTGTCAATGTTTATGTTAAAGTACGTTTCATGAACAGATATGGCCGTTTGAGAAAGATCGGCAAAGATTTGTTGTTTAAAAACAGTAATTCAGACTTTGCTAACCAGACGCTTCTTTGTGGATGAATGATTAACAGCACATCAGATTAAATGATGGTTCCTATTAAGAGTTACAGGTTTAATTCCTGTCAGAGAAGCACATATTTTTTACAAAATTTCTCAAACAGGCTGGTAAATGTAATTAATACTGTTTATTTAAAAAACAGAGCATTTACTTATTTAGATATTTGCTTCTATAAAAATAACGTATAAACAAAAATATATTAAATAATTGTTGCACTTAATCCATTTCATAATATACATTTATATGTGTGAATAAAAACAAAAGGAAAACTTATCTTAGCTCATGCCCTTTGTCCTCTGATGGACTTTATCAAGACAGATGTAAAGATTTTATTTGCAACAAGTATTTATAGATAAAAGTAAAAATGTTAGTTTTTTGAAATTTTGAAATTTAAGAAACTCTCATAAATATTCATCATGCTAACTGAAAAGTCTCAGTAAATTATGGAGGATACTAAGTGACATCATTTAATGCCTTATAAATTATGGAGGATGCTAAGTGACATCATTTAATGCCTTATAAATTATGGAGGATGCTAAGTGACATCATTTAATGTCTTATAAATTATGGAGGATGCTAAGTGACATCATTTAATGTCTTATAAATTATGGAGGATGGTAAGTGACATCATTTAATGTCTTATAAATGAAAGTGAGTAAGTAATGTTGTTGAATTTTTTATGCAATTTATAATTGTTTTAATATGGAATAAATTTATGTATTATATATTTTAAATAACAGATGATTATGAATTTTACCATTTTTCTTTTAATTTTTTAACATTTTTATAATCATGTTTGTTGGGTTGGGAAAGTAGCAATTCTTTCAAGAATGGAGATCTTGGAAAAAATCTGGGGCATAGATTTATATTTTGATAAAATTCAATAGCAGCTCTCTTGAGAATTTTCCATCTAAGTAACTTACTTTCTCTTTTAATAGGTATGGCATTCTTTAGATTAAAATTGTGATTGAATTTATTTCTATGTTGATGTAATGGAATAACCCGTCACCCCTCATGAGTGAGTACACTATAGGTAGTAACTACCTATAAGTATCTGTAAATCAACAGACTACAGAAACTAGCCGGGATCTGTCAGTCTGCAGTTGGAGACTCATCTCCGGCTGTGCTGGTCAAACTCTCTGCCTCTGGACAGAGAGGATCCCCAGACGAGACTCTGCCTTTCGACATAGCCTCGTCTTGGGAAACAGCTACCCGACCCTGTTTTATACGGGGTCTATGGATAATTTTAGCCAAGCCTATGGGCTCGGATACCCAACATTAAATTCGGCTCTGTGCCACATCTGATCATGTGGGGCGGTTAGCGGATATACTAGCTGGGATCTCTTGAGTACGACTCAGACTTACGTGAGAACTACCGACCTTCCAACAGTAGCACTCACTATTGGATAAACATGCAACAACCTTGTGCATAACTGTTACCGTTATTCTTATTGTATTGGTTTTTACAATAAACCTTTACTTATTTTATCCACTTTGTTTTTCAAGTATATATTCCTATTAGCATGGAATATAACATATGTATAACAAATGAATATGATAAATTGTTGTGTATAAGATCCTTTTTGTGTTCATAGATATGTTTTTTAAATTTCTGCAGGTTTCCCCAATGTATAATGAAGAGCAGTTGTGACAGTTTATTTTATATCTATCTGCTTCAGAATTATTGTTATGGGTATTTTTGATTCTGATCATATCCATAATATGAATTTGGTTGGAATTATTTTAATAGTTTTGAGATGGGATAATATTTTTTGCACAGGAATTACATATGTATTTTTATGTTGGTTTGAACCAGAATTTCTTGTAGAAATCACACAACACATCAGGCATAAAATAAACCCACCTAGTTTTTGAGGTATAGCTTAGCACAAAGCCACAATCGTCAAGCAGCCAGTAAGAAGCAAATTAAATACATAATATTCACAACCATTATTATTTGCTTGGCGACAGAAGCTCAACTTTCTGCAATTCAACAGAATAATCTGACATATTTGTGGGTGAATAGTTGAAGCTTTTATCAAACAGTTATCTTTGTTCTTTGTTTTATAGACAGAATTAATTTTATGAAACCAAACTTGCAAATCAGCAAATAATATTAAAAACTATTTTAAGGATAACAATTTATCTATATTTTATGTTTGTATGCATGTCGGTGAGAGGCTTTTATTATACGACTGTTTTTGCTTCTTTTTTTTTGTTTTGTTTTATAGACAGAATTACATTTATGAAGCCAAACTTGCATATCAGCATAAAATGTTAGAAGCGGCTTTAGGGAGAACAGAATATCCCAAAATACGAACCTTTAATCAATTGATACACAGTACAAATGATGTGTACAATGATTTTGAAACAGCAGAAATTTTGTGAGTATAACACTTGCTATGTTTAAAGCAAAAATTACATTTTAATTATACAGCACTACAACAGTCAGCAGGAGAAAAAAGTTATATATATATATATATATATATATATATATATATGAAGAAATATAGTTTTAAGGTATGCTATATTTATAGGATAAAGTGCTCAATATCAGAGATAGAGTGTATGTGTAAATATAAAGTGAACACTGACGTCAACACTCAGAGGCGACAGGCTGTTTCATGCTAGATATATATATATATATATATATATATATATATATATATATATATATATATATATATACACACAAACACACCTTATTTTAGG